AAATAAATAAATAAATAAATAAATAAATAAATAAATAAATAAGGTTGGGGAGTTAGTTCAGTGCAAAAGCCCTGGACTCAATCCCCAGGAACACTCCTCCCCTCCAAAAAGCAATATATTAACTAAAGGTGAAATATGCAAAGCTTTTAGCATAGAGCCAGGCTCCTGGCTAAACAAATGATGGCAATTAGCGTAGTCTTAATTACAGCCACTAAACCGTTCGATCCACTTTCCAAGAAACAACCTAACATTAAAAAAAAAAAGGAGCCGGCCGTGGTGGCACATGCCTGTAATCCCAGCACTTGGGAAGCTGAGGCAGGAGGACTGCTTCGAGTTTGAGGGCACCCTGGGCTGCATAGTGAGTTCAAGCCCAGCCTGAACTACAAAGCAAGACCTTGTCTCAGAAAACCAACAAACCGGGCCAGGGATTTAGCTCAGTGGTTCTGCTGCCTGCCTCGAAAGTGCAAGGACCCAAGTTCGATCCCCGGTACCAAAAAAACCCCCCAAAAACACAAACAAGGGCTGGGGATTTAGCTCAGTGGCACAGCACCTGCCTTCCAAGTACAAGGTCCTAAATTCGATCCCTGGTACCAAAAAACAAAAACACAAAAGGATCTGGGTTCAATCCCTGTACTGTACCGCCCCCCAAAAATGTATCCTAGGTCAAAGAATATATGCATTAAAAAATTTACTTATTAAAAAAGTATTTATTTGTTTGTTTTACCAGGGATCGAACTCGGGACCTTGTGCTTGCAAGGCAGGCCCCCAGAACCACTGAGCTAAATCCCCAGCCCAGTTGGTTGGTTTTCTGAGACAAGGTCTTGCTTTGTAGTTCAGGCTGGCCTTGAACTCACTATGTAGTTCAAACTAGCCTTGAATTTATAGCGATCCTCTTGCCTCAGCCTCCTGAGTGGTTGGGATCACAGGTCTGTTCTACTACACCGGCCCAATATATGCATTTTTAAATTCTAAGGAAATGTTACCTGGGAATTTTTTAATCAATGTTGATCCAGGGATACTCTTTCTACACTATGTAAGACATTGAGCATTATTAATTATTAGCCTTGTATAACTGCTAATTCTATGGAGTAAAAACCAGATTACCAAAAAAAAAACAAAAACAAAAACAGAACACCAATCAATGCCCATGGTGGTGGGCACCTATAATCCCAGCACTCAGGAGGCTGAAGCAGGAGGATCTTGAGTTTGAACCCCACCTGGGCTACAGAGCAAGTTCCAGACCAGCCTGGATCACAAAGTGAAACCCAGTCTCAAAAATAAACAAAATGGGCCAGGGATTTAGCTCAGTGGTTCCGGTGCCTGCCTTGAAAGCACAAGGTCCCGAGTTCGATCTCCAGTACCAAAAAAAAAAATAATAAAATAAAATAAACAAAAAACCTGAGCAGTCAAGAACTGGTCAAAAATTTGTCCCCAAACTGTATTTTTTCCTTTATTTAAAAAATTTTTTCCCCTGCAAATCTGTGGAACTGTCAGCTCTGACTATTTCCTATGCTACTCAGGGCCTTCTAAAAAATGGGGCAGTTCACTACTGACCATCCACATTTCCATTTGTGGGCCTCAGCCTGGTATAGGACTCCACTCTCACCTCCTTGTCAGGTCCCATCCCCCATATCTCTTCTCCAGTAGGACTTCAAACTAATCTGGGCTTGGGCTGTTACTGACCCCCATCGCTATTTCTACTTTCCCAAACCATCCTTATCCCTCAAAACCCTGATGCCCAGACATCAGACCCTCCCAACAAGAAAGGACCTACCTCAAGGAAACAATTAACAGGGTGGGAGACAACCTAAAGAACTGGATAAAATATCTGCAAACAGTGTACCAGATAAGGGGTTAATGTCCCCAATAAAAGAGAGAAAACAACACAATTTTAAGCAGTGGCAAGAGACTTGAACAGATACTTTTTTTTTCTTTCTTCTATTCTTTTCTTATGTTTCAGACAAGGTCTCCCTATGTAGTCCAGGCTGGCCTGGAACTCATAATCCTCCTGTGTTAGTCTCCTAAGGGCTGGGGTTACAGGTGTGTGCCACCATATCTGGTATGACATTTTTCTTTTTCTCTGTTTCTTATTTTGGCAGTACCAGGAATTCAACTTGGGACCCTGTGCATGCTAGGCAAGCACTCTACCACTGAACTACACCCCGAGCCTATTAACATTCAAAAGAGTACATACAAATGGCCAATAGGTATATGAAAAAAATGCTCAACATCACTAGTCATCATGAAAATGCAAATCAAAACCACAATAAGATATCACCTCCACAGGGGCCAGGGATTTAGCTCAGTGGCACTGGCCCTGCCTCGCAAGCACAAGGTCCTGAGTTTGATCCTTGGTTCCTAAAAAAAAAAAAGTTGAAAGAGGCTAGGGGTGTAGCTCAGCAAGAGTGCTTGTCAAGGGCCACAGATTTAGCTCAGTGGTTCCAGGCCTGACTTGCAAGCACAAGGTCCGAAGTTTGAGTTTGATCCCCAGTACCAAAAAAAAAAAAGAGTGCTTGTCAAGCAAGCACTGGGGAAGCCCTGGAGTTAGGAGGTGAGGATGGGAACTGGGGATACATCCAGAAGAAAGAAATCCATGCATGAGAGAGAGCTCTACTCCTATGCTTATTACAGCACTACTCACAACAGCCAAGATAGGGATCAACCTAAGTATCCACAATGGATAAAGAAAATGTGGGGTATATATACAACAGAATATCACTCAACCATTACAAAAAAAAAATAGAATACTTTGCAACAACATAAATAAACTTGGAGGACATTAAGAGAAACAGCCAAACACTAAATGACAAATACTACCAAATGATCTTGCTTATATGTAAAATCTGAAAAAGTGGAAGTACAGACAGAACAGTGGTTAAAAGGCCAGTGTGGTGTAGGATGGCATGGGGTCTCATTAGCTAAAGGATAAAAGGATATTTAGGGGCCCAGGAATGTAGCTCAATAATAGAGCTCTTGCCTACCAGGTAGGAGGCCTAAGTTTGATCCTGAGCACTGCCTCAAAACAAAACAAAACATGGGCCGGGGATTTAGCTCAGTGGTTCCGCCGCCTGCCTCGAAAGCACAAGGACCTGAGTTTGATCCCTGGTACCAACAAAACAAAGCAAAACAAAAAAACAAAACATATATATATATATAATTTCAGTTCAATAGGAGTAGTAACATCAAGAGATTTATTATGCAGCATGGTTAATGCTGTAGTTAACGCATGTAGTTAATGATGATACGACAATGTATTCTTGAAAAATGAAAAGTGGAGCCAGGCATGGTGGTGCATGCCTCTAATCTAGGGAGTCTGGGAGGCTGAAGCAGGAGGATTACAAATTTAGAGCAGCCTGGGCAATTTAGCAAGACCCTGCCTCAAAATTTAAAAACAAAAAAAAAGAAGGGTTAGGATGTAGCTCAGTGCAAAGGCCATGGGTTCAATCCCCAGTGCTGGGGGGAGAAAAAGAGCAAGCCAGGAACTGCAGCCAGGCATGGAACACCTATAATCCCAGCACTTGGGAAGCTGAGGCAGAAGGATCATGAGTTTGAGGCCAGCCTGGGCTATACAGTAAATTCTAGGACACTGCAGACTACC